CTCCTTTTGTGATACTATTCAGACCTCAAATACACAATATTACTTAGCGGTATTGCTGGGATATACTCCATTTCCATGTTCAGACTGTGATGAACAACAAGACCAGAGCCGTCTCTGCAACCTTTCTTTGCTCATTGAATTTGAGTACCTTTTCTTGACTGCCAGTCTTCTTAATTTTTCTATTTCAGAACTGTTGTATGACCCCTACAGTTTAGTGCTTGAATATTACCTTATTTCATAATATCTTAATAACATTTTCACCACTCCGTGATCTCACACCAAGCATTTTTCACTGTCATTCAAACCTTCTAGAAGCAATATTCAAGAGCCTATGGCTACTTATCTATTATACACTTTTATTCCTGAATGCAATACTCCGAAATTTTTTCTCCCTCTTTAATTTGGTGCTGTATCTCATCCTTTGTAGAGCCAGCCTACCAATTCATCTACATCTATCTCGAGTAGTGTTTTCTAAATAATTCCTTTACGACATCTGATTATGACCTATTGCATTCTGTAAAATTGTACTTAGTCACATCACCTTACTACTACAAATTAATCTGGACATCACATCCAACATCCTTTACAGAAGGAATTTCAAAATTCCCTATCAACTTTGCAAGTTTTCTTGTTTGAATCTCCCATTTATGAGTTTCAATCCTAAATCAGTTGTAAAAGTTTCCACTAAAATTCAGGTGCTGATTGAATTCATTATCTGTAAATTAAGCATTTTTGTTTTTTCATCAAACCGACCATATACCACTGAGGCAGGGGGAGAACAAAAAAAAAAAAAAGTTTTATCTTTTTAAATTTAGTAATGTGTATACCATGAGAGAACCGTTAACTAGCTCCTGCCTCCTGGCATTTTAGTTACCTTTTACAGCACACATATGGGTTTAGGAGGAAGAATTTTTTCCAGCTTTGGTTCACTCATAGGAGGGGAAAATGCATATCAACTATTACATCAGAGCACAAGGGGGGACGCAATCCCAGGTACATGCCCTCATTGGCCGAATATTGCCGTTTGACTGTAAAGGAAACAGACTTTTTTGTTATTTTCTGCCACAAGAGACATGAGGGTTAAGGGGGCATAGGATTCTAACCACATCCCTCCAACCGATCGGGCTTCAAGTTTGACAACTGGGTTTCTGAGCTTTAAGATAGCAGTTAACCTTCATCATTACAGGGTATCATAACAGGTGAATGTCACCTGTATTGGAGTGATGAAGACATGTTACTAAGCTCATGAGTTCAAATGAACATGCTGGTAGTATAGTGAGTTGATATCCTTGGTAAAGGAAGTAATACATTTCCGTGGGGCCTCCCCACAGCTCCTGATGTAGAAATGTATCTCATCAAATGAAATATTCATGTTTCCCAAAAACATTCTCAATAAATATACAGGTTCAATTAAGTAATTTCTCTGGGAATTTTAGTGAAACTTTCAACTTTATTATTAACATCCCACCTTTTTTTCTTTTACTTTCCATTTACTCTGCTCTTTTTATAACACTTCTGCTTTGTAAAAACCTCTCATAAACTACGGTTTTCTCTTTCATCAGTAATGTTTTTATATAATTGTTATAAATATACCATTATTTCTTAAACAGAGTCACTATGCTGTATATACTTTTTTCTTTCTGTGATATAGTGCAATATGTTTATAGAAGGCTTCTTTTACTTGTGATTATGATTTGAAAATTTTCAATGAAAAATAGTTATTGTTGTATAATGCCTTATCTGAACAAGGAATAACTGCTTTCAGTCCTGATAAAGTGTTATTCAGTTATCACAGTACAGAATTTAAGTCCATATTAATTTTAACAATGATTTCCTGATCTCTTACTATTGTAAATGCATGAGACATATATAGAATTAATTTTTTAATGCAAATTGTAGCATACATTATTCATTGTATAGATTATCCAGTTACAGTAATAATACTATCATCTCTAACTTCAAGATCATAAATAGTTTATTTCCTGATTTTTTTTTTTCAAGTCGGCCGTCTCCCACCGAGGCAGGGTGACCCAAAAAAGAAAGAAAATCCCCAAAAAGAAAATGCTTTCATCATCATTCAACACTTTCACCACACTCGCACATTATCACTGTTTTTGCAGAGGTGCTCAGAATACAACAGTTTAGAAGCATACACATATAAAGATACACAACATATCCCTCCAAACTGCCAATATCCCAAACCCCTCCTTTAAAGTGCAGGCATTGTACTTCCCATTTCCAGGACTCAAGTCCGACTATATGAAAATAACCGGTTTCCCTGAATCCCTTCACTAAATATTACCCTGCTCACACTCCAACAGATCGTCAGGTCCCAAGTACCATTTGTCTCCATTCACTCCTATCTAACACGCTCACGCACGCTTGCTGGAAGTCCAAGCCCTTTGCCCACAAAACCTCCTTTACCCCCTCTCTCCAACCCTTTCGAGGAGGACCCCTACCCCTCCTTCCTTCCCCTATAGATTAATGTGCTTTCCATGTCATTCTACTTTGATCCAGTCTCTCTAAATGACCAAACCACCTCAACAACCCCTCTTCTGCCCTCTGACTAATACTTTTATTAACTCCACACCTTTTCCTAATTTCCACACTCCGAATTTTCTGCATAATATTTACACACACATTGCCCTTAAATCAGGACATCTCCACTGCCTCCAACCGTCTCCTCGCTGCTGCATTTACCACCCAAGCTTCACACCCATATAAGAGTGTTGGTACTACTATACTTTCATACATTCCCTTCTTTGCCTCCATAGATAACGTTTTTTGACTCCACATATACCTCAACGCACCACTCACCTTTTTTTCCCTCATCAATTCTATGATTAACCTCATCCTTCATAAATCCATCCGCCGACATGTCAACTCCCAAGTATCTGAAAACATTCACTTCTTCCATACTCCTCCTCCCCAATTTGATATCCAATTTTTCTTTATCTAATCATTTGATACCCTCATCACCTTACTCTTTTCTATGTTCACTTTCAACTTTCTACCTTTACACACATTCCCAAACTCATCCACTAGCCTTTGCAATTTTTCTTTATAATCTCCCATAAGCACAGTATCATCAGCAAAAAGCAATTGTGTCAATTCCCATTTTGAATTTGATTCCCCAAAATTTAATCCCACCCCTCTCCTGAACACCCTAGCATTTACTTCCTTTACAACCCCATCTATAAATATATTAAACAACCATGGTGACATTACACATCCCTGTCTAAGACCTACTTTTACCGGGAAGTAGTCTCCCTCTCTTCTACACACCCTAACCTGAGCCTCACTATCCTCATAAAAACTCTTTACAGCATTTAATAACTTACCACCTATTCCATATACTTGCAACATCTGCCACATTGCTCCTCTATCCACTCTATCATATGCCTTTTCTAAATCCATAAATGCAACAAAAACTTCCCTACCTTTATCTAAATACTCTTCACACATATGCTTCAATGTAAACACTTGATCTACATCCCCTACCCACTCTGAAACCTCCTTGCTCATCCGCAATCCTACATTCTGTCTTACCTCTAATTCTTTCATTTATAACCCTATCGTACACTTTTCCTGGTATACTCAGTAAACTTATTCCTCTATAATTTTTACAGTCTCTTTTGTCCCCTTTCCCTTTATATAAAGGGACTATACATGCTCTCTGCCAATCCCTAGGTACCTTCCCCTCTTTCATACATTTATTAAACAAAAGTACCAACCACTCCAACACTATATCCCCCCCTGCTTTTAACATTTCTGTCATGATCCCATCAGTTCCAGCTGCTTTACCCCCTTTCATTCTACGTAATGCCTCACGTACCTCCCCCACACTTACATTCTGCTCTTTTTCACTCCTAAAAGATGGGATACCTCCTGACCAGTGCATGAAATTACTGCCTCTCTTTCTTCCTTAACATTTAAAAGTTCCTCAAAATATTCTCACCATCTCCTAATACCTCCATCTCCCCATCTACTAACTCCCCAAACTCTGTTTAAACTGACAAATCCATACTTTCCCTAGGCTTTCTTAAATTGTTTAACTCACTCCAAAATTTTTCTTATTTTCATTAAAATTTCTTAAACAGTGCCTCTCCCACTCTATCATCTGCTCCCCTTTTTGCACTCTCTCACCACTCTCTTTACCTTTCTTTTACTCCATATACTCTGCTCTTCTTATAACACTTCTGCTTTGTAAAAACCTCTCATAAGCTACCCTTTTCTCTTTTATCACACCCTTTACTTCTTCATTCCACCAATCACTCCTCTTTCCTCCTGCCCCCACCCCTCCTGTAACCAAAACTTCTGCCCCACATTCTAATACTGCATTTTAAAACTATTCCAACCCTCTTCAACCCCCCCCACTACTCATCTTTGCACTAGCCCACATTTCTGCCAATAGTCGCTTATATCTCACCCGAACTTCCTCCTCCCTTAGTTTATGCACTTTCACCTCCCTCTACTTGTTGTTGCCACCTTCCACTTTCCATCTACCTCTTACTCTAACTGTAGCTACAACTAAATAATGATCCGATGTATCAGTTGCCCCTCTATAAACATGTACATCCTGGAGCCTACCCATCAACCTTTTATCCACCATTGCATAATCTAATAAACTACTTTCATTACGTGCTACATCATACCTTGTATATTTTTTTATCCCTTTTTCATAAAATATGTATTACTTATTACCAAATCTCTTTCTACACATTGCTCAATTAAAGGCTCCCCATTTACATTTACCCCTGGCACCCCAAATTTACCTACTACTCCCTCTATAACATTTTTACCCACTTTAGCATTGAAATCCCCAACCACCATTACTCTCACACTTGATTCAAAACTCCCCACTCATTCACTCAACATTTCCCAAAATCTCTCACTCTCCTCTACACTTCTCTCGTCTCCAGGTGCATACACGCTTATTATAACCTACTATCATCTCTAACTTCAAGATCATTAAATAGTTTATTTCCTGATATGTAAAGTCTCTATTCTTTGTTATTAGGTGCTTTTAGATGTCTTGTGGAAGGAGGAGGAGACATTGCATTCCTTAAGCACACAACTGTACGGGAGAATGTGGATGGTAAGAAGAAGGAGTGGTGGGCTCGCAACCAGTTAACAGCCGATTATCAGCTCGTATGTCGAGATGGTGTGTATTTTTTCTTTTAATGCATCTTTTTGTAAATTCTCAGCCATTTTCCATTTTGTCAGGGTGGCCCAAAGTAAACATTTCCCATCATTCACTCTCTGACTCTTCCTTTGGTTACTCCTACACCACCTAACATCCACTCCAGAGTTATTCTTTGCCAAATTATCTTGCTCCATTCTTTCAAGACGACCCAGTGGAATGTTAAGGTGTAATTCTGACAGATATGAGTATAAACATGTAATTTGTAGAGCAAGCTTTTATTGGAGCTCTGTTTTGGTGAGAGCTGAGCTTTATTAAGTTATACAGAGGATGCTTTTCAGGTTTAAAGAAACTGTGTCAAGGTCTTGTGATGTCACATAGGGTTTTTGATGTGACAACTGCTGCTTTAGTACCATTTCTCAGGTTGCATCCCTGGATGAATTGACAGAAATTGTTCTTATGATGTCACAAATGGTTTTTGATGTGACAGCTGCTACTTTAGTACCATTTCTCAGGCTGCAACCCTGTATGAATTGACGGAAATTGTAGGACAAAAAAGGTGTTGTATTATTTTCCTCTTCTAAAAATTAAGAGCTACAAATTCTGTTAGATCACAAGAAGCCAGGCAAGACTCTTTTGTGATACTATCAGACCTAAATACACAATATTAATTAGCGGTATTGCTGGTATATACTCCATTCCATGTGCAGACTGTGATGAACAACATGACCAGAGCCGTCTCTGCAACCTTTCTTTTGCTCATTGAATTGTACCTTTCTTACTGCCAGTCTTCTATTTTCTCTATTTCAGCACTGTGTATGACCCCTACAGGTTTAGTGCTTGAATATTTCCTTATTTCATAATATCTGAATAACATTTTCACCACTCAGTGATCTCACACCAAGCATTTTCACTGTCTCCAACCTTCTTGATGCAATATTCAAAGCCTATGCTACTTATCTATTAACACTTTTTTCTCTGATTCAATACTCCGTAATTTTTTCTCCCTCTTTATTTTGTGCTGTATCTCATCCTTTGTAGAGCCAGCTACCAATACATCTACATCTTTCTCGAGTAGTGTTTCTAAATATATTCCTTTAATCATCTGTTATGACCTCTTGCATTCTGTATAATTGTACATAGTCTCATCACCTTACTACTACTAATTATCTGGACTCACTTCCAACTCCTTTTACAGAATGGTTCAAAATTCCCTTATCAACTTTGCAGTTTCTTGTTTGAATCTCCCATTATGAGTTTCATCCTAAAGCAGTTGTAATAGTTTCCACTAAAATTCAGGTGCTGATTGAATTCATTATCTGTAAATTACATTTTTGTTTTTTCATCAAACCGACCATATCCCACTGAGGCAGGGTGACCTAAAAAAAAAAAAAGTTTTTCTTTTTAAATTTAGTAATGTATACAGGAGAAGCAGTTACTAGCTCCTTGCTCCTGGCATTTTAGTTACCTTTACAGCACACATGGTTTATGGAGGAAGAATTTTGTTCCACTTCCTCATGGAGAGTAAATTGCATATCAAATACATCACAATAGCATTCCCAGGGCCCCATTGCAGAATATTGCAGTTTGACTGTAAAGAAAGACTTTTTCTGCATCAGAGACATTGAGGGGAAGGGGGCATGGTTTCTACCAACTCCTCCAACCGTTGGGCTTCAGTTGACAACTGGGTTCTGGAGCATTATAGGAACCTCATCTTACAGGGTTCATAACAGGTGAATGTCACCTGGTAGTTGGAGGTGAAGAAGACTTGTTACTAAGCTCATGGTGTTCAAATGAACATTGCTGGAGTATAGTGAGTTGAGTATCATTGGAAAGGAAGTATGACATTTTCCAGGTGGGCCTCCCACAGCTCCTGATGTAGAAATGTATCTCATCAAAATGAAATATTCTGTTCCCAAAACTTTCTCAATAAATGTACAGTTCAATTAAGTAATTTGCTCTGGATTTTAGTGAAACTTTCAACTTTATTATTAAACATGTGGGCTGTTTGATGTAAAGCTCATTCCAACATGTATACATGTTCTCACAAATCTGCTGCTTGAATACTAGTTCTGTTTCCCCTCTCTTTGCAGTATAAACTCATTTATGATAAAATTGTTTCTGGCAGGAACTCGAGCTCCTGTGACAGAATATGAGAACTGTAACCTAGGTACAGTTCGCTCCAACGCTGTTGTTACACGTGGAGGATATCTCTATAATCAGACTGAGGTGGATACTTATACAAACCTCTTCCTGTATGCTCAACAGTACTTTGGCCGAGATTCAGACGATGAGTGGAAGTAAGTACAATACGATGTGAATTGTTAAAATATTAATTAACAGTTTTTAAGGACATTGTATTAATTCATTACTACTCCTGTCCCTCAGGGGAGGTTTCTTGATGCTGATGAGATGCTCTTATCCAAGGAATTGGAGTTATCCTCTGTTTCCTTGGATTGAACCTGATTGCCTCTCATTTCTCAGGTGTTGTATGACCCCTTTGAGTTTAATGCCTCCCACATTATTTTTTTTTTTTTAACACTCTTGCCATCTCTCACTGAGGATTATCTTAGCTACTTTAGGGAATTTTTAATTTTATTTTTGTCCTGCTAAATATAGTTGTAGCTTCAGTATATCCTTCTTATATTAGAATTCATTTACATTTTTTTTTTTTTTTTTCAAAATGCTGGCCATCTTCCATCCAGGCAGGGTGATCCAAAAATGAAAGAAACACTTTCACCATCATTCACACATAATCACTGTCTTTGCAGAGGAACCCAGATATGACAGTTCAGATGTCACTCCAAACAACAAATATCCTAAAACTCCTCCTATGAAGTGCAGGCATTTTACTTCCCACCTCCATTTGCATATGATAATATTTATTTACATATTTTAATGCTTGTAGTATTATTGTTTATAGTCATTACTAGACATAGTACAGTACTGAAGTTTTGTTTTGTCTTTGTGGAAACTTTGACTTGAAGAAAAATCCATTCACCAAAATTTACATCTTTGTCTTTTTTTTGTTATTAATTGTAGAAGAGTTAACCAGCCCTTTACTTCAGGTAACGGAAAAGATTCTGACTTCCTTTTGACATGGAATATAAAAAGTTATAGATTTGAAAACATGATTCTAATAAATATGTAAAAAAAAGTAAGGGTGATAATTGTATTGGGAATCCAAGAAAGGTTTTTTAACCCTTTAACTGTCGCAACCCCAAATCCTGAGGTGTCTCCTGGTGTCACAAAATATTTGAAAAAAAAAAAAAAAACTTTTTTTTTCTTATGAAATGATAGAGAATCTTTTTCCCATGGTAATAACACCAAAAGTACGAAATTTGATGGAAAACTTGCAGACTTACACTCTTGCGAAGTTAGTGACCTCAGCGATATATACAAACTGGCGATTTCGCACACTTTGAGCCCTATTTTCGGCTAATTCCATTGTTCCAGTCGACCAAACTCATAACTACGTATTTCTTTAGAACTCCATTTGTTCTATCGTTTGAGTACAAGAAACTACCCATTTACTGATTTCATCTACCCAATAAAGTGGTCAGAAATTGGCAATCTGACCAATTTCACGCAAATTAAAAAGTATGCCAATTTCAAAATAGGTTTCAGAATGAACAATGCAGACATTCCTGGCTCTAAAATAACATTTTCGTTGTTCATCAGTCACATTTCCAGGCCCCTCTCATATTACTCTTGCTTTCTATTTTGAATTTTTATTCAAGCAAAAAATACAAGATTTACTGTTATGCAGACTACTGCAATATTGTAATAATTGTATAAATAATGTCAACCCATTCATGACTGCATATTAGAATGGCTAGTTGGACATTTATTGGACAATGACATCATTTGTTTACTCTTGAACATCGGCAAAAATCAAACATTTTCCCTACTTTGAGCTCCATCTCAAGGTCCTTTTCATAGTGTAACCAATCAAAATCACCTCTATTTCTGTAATATGTTTTCCATTCTATCAAATGGGACTTCGAAAAAGAGAACATAACCATAACAACTTTACGAAAATACACCTCAAAGTCAGCGTTTTAATCCAAAAACACGGTCGGAGTTTTTTTTTTTTTTCTCATTATGCACTGCGTGCTGCAGGATTTTTATACAGCGCACACTGACCACACAGTCATTCTCTCACATGTGGGCCTACCAGCTTTCTCCTGCTTGATTTGAAGCCACTAGAATTTTTGAGTATACATGTATACTACTGCATCAAACACATTGGCTCCTGAGACGTATATATACAACCAAAACAGTCAAAGGGTTAAAATTAGTCTTATTAGCATAGTAAATGCTAAACAGTCTTTAGTAGGGCTCTTTTTTATGAATCTGAAATAGTAAGATATGCACTTGAATAAGGCTCATTATATTGGTTGGATTTCTGGACACTAATTTTCATTTAACATTAATAAATAGATTTGTATAGGTAGTAGGTTGGTAGACAGCAACCACCCAGGGAGGTACTACCGTCCTGCCAAGTGAGTGTAAAACGAAAGCCTGTAATTGTTTTACATGATGGTAGGATTGCTGGTGTCCTTTTTTCTGTCTCATAAACATGCAAGATTTCAGGTACATCTTGCTACTTCTACTTACACTTAGGTCACACTACACATACATGTACAAGCACATATATACACACCCCTCTGGGTTTTCTTCTATTTTCTTTCTAGTTCTTATTCTTGTTTATTTCCTCTTATCTCCATGGGGAAGTGGAACAGAATTCTTCCTCCGTAAGCCATGCGTGTTGTAAGAGGCAACTAAAATGCCGGGAGCAAGGGGCTAGTAACCTCTTCTCCTGTATATATTACTAAATGTAAAAGGAGAAACTTTCGTTTTTCCTTTTGGGCCACCCCGCCTCGGTGGGATACGGCCGGTGTGTTGAAAGAAAGAAAGAATATATATATATATATATATATTTATTTATTTATTTATTTATTTATTTATTTATATATTATAGGTAGTAGGTTGGTAGACAGCAACCGCCCAGGGAGGTACTACCGTCCTGCCAAGTGAGTGTAAAACGAAAGCCTGTAATTGTTTTACATGATGGTAGGATTGCTGGTGTCCTTTTTTCTGGCTCATGAACATGCAAGATTTCAGGTACATCTTGCTACTTCTACTTACACTTAGGTCACACTACACATACATGTACAAGCATATATATACACCCACCCCTCTGGGTTTTCTTCTATTTTCTTTCTAGTTCTTATTCTTGTTTATTTCCTCTTATCTCCATGGGGAAGTGGAACAGAATTCTTCCTCCGTAAGCCATGCGTGTTGTAAGAGGCGACTAAAATGCCGGGAGCAAGGGGCTAGTAACCTCTTCTCCTGTATATATTACTAAATGTAAAAGGAGAAACTTTCGTTTTTCCTTTTGGGCCACCCCGCCTCGGTGGGATACGGCCGGTGTGTTGAAAGAAAGAAAGATATATATATATATATATATATATATATATATATATATATATATATTTTTTTTTTTTTTTTTCAACAAGTCGGCCGTCTCCCACCGGGGCAGGGTGACCCAAAAAAGAAAGAAAATCCCCAAAAAGAAAATACTTTCATCATCATTCAACACTTTCACCACACTCGCACTTTTATCACTGTTTTTGCAGAGGTGCTCAGAATGCAACAGTCTAGAAGCATACACATATAAAGATACACAACATATCCCTCCAAACTGCCAATATCCCAATCCCCTCCTTTAAAGTGCAGGCATTGTACTTCCCATTTCCAGGACTCAAGTCCGACTATATGAAAATAACCGGTTTCCCTGAATCCCTTCACTAAATATTACCCTGCTCACACTCCAACAGATCGTCAGGTCCCAAGTACCATTCGTCTCCATTCACTCCTATCTAACACGCTCACGCACGCTTGCTGGAAGTCCAAGCCCCTTGCCCACAAAACCTCCTTTACCCCCTCTCTCCAACCCTTTCGAGGACGACCCCTACCCCGCCTTCCTTCCCTATAGATTTATATGCTTTCCATGTCATTCTACTTTGATCCATTCTCTCTAAATGACCAAACCACCTCAACAACCCCTCTTCTGCCCTCTGACTAATGCTTTTATTAACTCCACACCTTCTCCTAATTTCCACACTCCGAATTTTCTGCATAATATTTACACCACACATTGCCCTTAAACAGGACATCTCCACTGCCTCCAACCGTCTCCTCGCTGCTGCATTTACCACCCAAGCTTCACACCCATATAAGAGTGTTGGTACTACTATACTTTCATACATTCCCTTCTTTGCCTCCATAGATAACGTTTTTTGACTCCACATATACCTCAATGCACCACCACCTTTTTTCCCTCATCAATTCTTGATTAACCTCATCCTTCATAAATCCATCCCCCGACACGTCAACTCCCAAGTATCTGAAAACATTCACTTCTTCCATACTCCTCCTCCCCAATTTGATATCCAATTTTTTTATCTAAATCATTTGACACCCTCATCACCTTACTCTTTTCTATGTTCACTTTCAATTTTTCTACCTTTACACACTTTCCCAAACTCATCCACTAACCTTTGAAATTTTTTTCTTTAGAATCTCCCATAAGCACAAGTATCATCAGCAAAAAGTAACTGTGTCAATTCCTTTTTGAATTTGATTCCCCAAAATTTAATCCCACCCCTCCCGAACACCCTAGCATTTTCTTCCTTTACAACCCCATCTATAAATATATTAAACAACCATGTGACATTACACATCCCTGTCTAAGACCTACTTTTCCGGGAAAGTAGTCTCCCTCTCTTTTTACACACCCTAACCTGAGCCTCACTATCCTCATAAAACTCTTTACAGCATTTAATAACTTACCACCTATTCCATATACTTGCAACATCTGCCACATTGCTCCTCATCCACTCTATCATATGCCTTTTCTAAATCCATAAATGCAATAAAAACTTCCCTATCTTTATCTAAATACTGTTCACATATATGCTTCAATGTAAACACCGATCTACACATCCCCCACCCATCTGAAACCTCCTTGCTCATCGCAATCCTACATTCTGTCTTACCTCTAATTCTTTCAATTATAACCCTACCGTAAAACTTTTTCCTGGTATACTCAGTAAGCTTATTCCTCTATAATTTTTACAGTCTCTTTTGTCCCCTTTTCCTTTATATAAAGGGACTATACATGCTCTCCGCCAATCCCTAGGTACCTTCCCTCTTTCATAACATTTTTTAAACAAAAGTACCAACCCCTCCAAAACTATATCCCCCCTGCTTTTAAAAATTTCTGTCATGATCCCATCAGTTTTCCCGCTGCTTTTACCCCCTTTCATTTTTACGTAATGCCTCACGTACCTCCCCCACACTTACATTCTGCTCTTCTTCACTCCTAAAAGATTGTATACCTCCCTGACCAGTGCATGAAATTACTGCCTCTGTTTCTTCCTTAACATTTAAAAGTTCCTCAAAATATTCTCGCCATCTACCCAATCTCCCCATCTACTAACTCCCCTACTCTGTTTTTAACTGACAAATCCATATTTTCCCTAGGCTTTCTTAACTTGTTTAACTCACTCCAAAATTTTTTCTTATTTTCATTAAAATTTCTTGAGAGTGCCTCTCCCACTCTATCATCTGCTCTCCTTTTGCACTTTCTCACCACTCTCTTTACCTTTCTTTTACTCTCCATATACTCTGCTCTTCTATAACACTTCTGCTTTGTTAAAAACCTCTCATAAGCTACCTTTTTCTCTTTTATCACACCCTTTACTTCATCTTCCACCAATCACCCTTTCCTTCTGCCCCCCCCCCTATAACCACAAACTTCTGCCCCACATTCTAATACTGCATTTTTAAAACTATTCCAACCCTCTTCAACCCCCCCCACTACTCATCTTTGCACTAGCCCACCTTTCTGCCAATAGTCGCTTATATCTCACCCGAACTTCCTCCTCCCTTAGTTTATACACTTTCACCTCCCTCTTACTTGTTGTTGCCACCTTCCTCTTTTCCCATCTACCTCTTACTCTAACTGTAGCTACAACTAATAATGATCCGATATATCAGTTGCCCCTCTATAAACACGTACATCCTGGAGCCTACCCATCAACCTTTTATCCACCAATACATAATCTAATAAACTACTTTCATTACGTGCTACATCATACCTTGTATATTTATTTATCCTCTTTTTCATAAAATATGTATTACTTATTACCAAATTTCTTTCTACACATAGCTCAATTAAAGGCTCCCCATTTACATTTACCCCTGGCACCCCAAATTTACCTACTACTCCCTCCATAACATTTTTACCCACTTTAGCATCGAAATCCCCAACCACCATTACTCTCACACTGATTCAAAACTCCCCACGCATTCACTCAACATTTCCCAAAATCTCTCTCTCTCCTCTACACTTCTCTCTTCTCCAGGTACATACACGCTTATTATAACCCACTTTTCACATCCAACTTTTATTTACTCCACATAATCCTTGAATTAATACATTTATAGTCCCTCTTTCCTGCCATAGCTTATCCTTCAACATTATTGCTACTCCTTCTTTAGCTCTAACTCTATTTGAAACCCTGACCTAATCCCATTTATTCCTCTCCACTGAAACTCTCCCACCCCCTTCAGCTTTGTTTCACTTAAAGCCAGGACATCCAGCTTCTTCTTCATTCATAACATCCACAATCATCTCTTTCTTATCATCTGCACAACATGCACGCACATTCAGACTTCCCACTTTGACAATTTCTTCTTCTTATTCTTTTTAGTAATCTTTACAGGAAAAGGGGTTACTAGCCCATTGTTCCCGGCATTTTAGTTGACTTTTACAACACGCATGGCTTACGGAGGAAAGATTCTTATTCCACTTCCCATGGATATAAAAGGAAAATTAATAAGACCAAGAACTATTAAGATAAAATCAAAGAAAACTCAGATGAGTGTGTATAAATAAATGTGTACATGTATGTGTAGTGTGACCTAAGTGTAAGTAGAAGTAGCAAGACATGCCTGTAATCTTGCATATTTATGAGACAGACAAAAGACATCAGCAATCCTACCATCATGTAAAACAATCACAGGCTTTCGTTTTACACTCACCTGGCAAGACGGTAGTACCTCCCTGGGTGGTTGCTGTCTACCATTATATATATATATATATATTTATATATATAATATAATATAATATATATATATATATATATATATATATATATATATATATATATTATTATACATATATATATATATATATATATATATATATTTATATACAGTGGACCCCCGCATAACGATCACCTCCAAATGCGACCAATTATGTAAGTGTATTTATGTAAGTGCGTTTGTACGTGTATGTTTGGGGGTCTGAAATGGACTAATCTACTTCACAATATTCCTTATGGGAAAAAATTCGGTCAGTACTGGCACCTGAACATAACTACTGGAATGAAAAAAGTTCGTTAACCGGGGGTCCACTGTATATATATATATATATATATATATATATATATACACACACACACACACACACACTCACATACATACACATCCCTCTGGGTTTTCTTCTATTTTCTTTCTAGTTCTTGTTCTTGTTTATTTCCTCTTATCTCCATGGGGAAGTGGAACAGAATTCTTCCTCCGTAAGTCATGCATGTTGTAAGAGGCGACTAAAATGCCAGGAGCAAGGGGCTAGTAACTCCTTCTCCCGTGTAAATTACTAAATTTAAAAAGAGAAACTTTCGTTTTTCTTTTTGGGCCACCCTGCCTTGGTGGGATACGGCCGGTTTGTTGAAAAAAAAAAAAAAAGATTTGTATAGGTAGTAGGTTGGTAGACAGCAACCACCCAGGGAGGTACTACTGTCTTGCCAAGTGAGTGTAAAACGAAAGCCTGTAATTGTTTTACATGATGGTAGGATTGCTGGTGTCTCTTTTTCTGCCTCATAAACATGCAAGATTTCAGGTACGTCTTGCTACTACTTCTTACACTTAGGTCACACTACACATACATGTATGTACAAGCATATATATATATACACACCCCTCTGGGTTTTCTTCTATTTTCTTTCTAGTTCTTGTTTATTTCCTCTTATGTCCATGGGGAAGTGGAACAGAATTCTTCCTATGTAAGCCATGCATGTTGTAAGAGGCGACTAAAATGCCAGGAACAAGGGGCTAGTAACCCCTTCTTTTGTACAAATTACTAAATTTAAAAAGAAAAGCTTTCATTTTTCTTTTTTGGGCCACCCTGCCTTGGTGGGATACGGCCGGTTTGTTGAAAATAAAAAAAAAATTTATTTGTGCTAGTACTGCTTGCACTGATTCACCCATGTCCTTCAGTAGCTTTGCTATAAGTTATTTCCTGTATTCTTAAGTAGAATTTCTAGGAAATGAATTATGTTTATTTTTGTCTTGGCCATGAAGTCTTGGCAAAATCTGGTGCTTTATTTTGTAAAGTATTATAGTCTTTGTTTTTTTTTTCTGTTCCAGCTTTAAGATGTTTCATTCAGACGAACCATATGCTGACCTCATATTTCAGGTATGTGATACTTGTCAGATTGTCTGAGGTGAATATGTACTGTATATACAGGACATGTAGTACTGTTTTGTACATATTTTCTTTACCAGATCAGTGATTTTTCTGTCAAGGGAGGGTGATCCTAAAGGAGACACATTCACCATTACTCACTTTTAGCTGCTTTTTCAGAGGTGCATAGACAGTACAATGTCAATGATCCACATTGCTCACCCGTACTTCAGAGTGGGGGCACCATATTTCCCACCAGAACTTAGGTTTAGTTAACAAGTTTCCATGAATCCTCTCATAAATGTTATTTTGTTCACACTCCAACATTATTTTAAACCCTAAAAACTACTTGTCTCCACTCATTCCGGTCCATCACACTCATATACGCATGCCTGCTGGATGCTCAAGCCTCTGTCACTAAGACCCTTCTTCTCCCTTCTCTCCCAACACTTCCTGGGATGACTGTATGCCTCCTTCTCTCCGCCCTGAATTTATGCACCCTCATTGCCATCCAATTCTACTTCATCCTTTTTAAATGGCCATACCACTGCAAGAACCTCCCCTCCACCCTTTGAATTAATACCTTTAGTAACTCCACACTGTCTTCTAGTTTCTGTGCTCGTAATTCTTCATAACATTCACATTACTCATTATTCTCAAAAAGGCATTTAAATCCACTGATTGCATTCTCCTTCTTGCTGCAGCATTTAAAGACCATACTTCACACTTAAACTTCTTTCTTTCTACAGATGCCTCAGTACACCACTTTTATTTTTTCTCCTACTCATAGTCTCTTTTATGGTTCACCTTGTCTTTCATAGATCCATCTGCTGACCTTCCACTCCCAAATTTTATTTTTATTATTATTATTAACCCTTAAACTGTCCAAACATAGATCTACGTTTTCACTGCCACTGCTCTGAATATTTTGAAAAATAAAAAAATAATTTTTTTATTAAATTAAAGAGGGCAATTTTCTGTGTGTCATAAGACTAATAAAAATTTTTTAGGACTAGTACTTACTGAGATATAAGACAGCAAAGTTGGTGCTGTATGCTCACCTGACAGCAACATGGAGTCCTGCCACTTGCAGAAGTGTTGTCGATATATCTTTTGTCTTGTTTTTATTTTAATTTATATAATTTTTATGTTCTGATAAATACAATTGTCTAGAAATATATACAAAATATTTATAGGTCTCAGCAATGTTATAGACATGCTGGAGTATACAGTGGTCCCTCAATTATCGTCCCTAATCCATTCCTGGAAGTGGGACTGTTATCGAAATAGACGATTTTCGAATCAGTTTTCCCCATAAGAAATAATGTAAATACAATTAATCTGTTCCTGACACCCAGAAGTATTAAAACAAAATTTTTTTTACATGAAATATAGATGTAGTACATAAACAATATAATGGAAAATGATAAATGAAACATTAACAGCATAACACTTACCTTTATTGGTGATTCTTCTTAGTGTATGGAAGGCTGGAGGAGGAGAGAGATTGGATTACTGTTTGGAAGGGGAATCTCCTTTCATCAGCACCTCAGGTACCGAGTGCTTTTCTGGGGTTACTTCTCTTCTCTGTTTCTTAATGCCACTAGGACCAACTTGAGAGTCACTAGAGTTCTGTCTCGCAAAAAAACTGTCCAGAGAGCTCTGTTTCTGGTGTCTCTTTAAAACTTCCCTAAAATGGGCCAAGACTGTCACTGTACAAGTTGCCGATATGGCTTGCAACATCCTTCTCAGGGTGATTTTTCTCCATAAATCTATCCATCCTACCCCACATTTCAAAAATCTCCTTAATTTCTGAAAAAGGCACCTTCTTCCATCTCTCTTCCTCCTCCTCTGCAGCAAGATTCTGAGCTGCGATCTGTTGCTCTTCCTGCTGAAGCTCTTGCAGTTCCTCAGTGGTTAGCTCTTCGTTGTGGTCCTCCACCAACTCTTCCACATCCTCCAAACTCACATCCAACCCCATGGAACTCCCCAGTGCCACAATAGAGTTCACAACTGACATAGGCTCATCAGGGGCTGCCTCAAACATTTCAAAATCCCTCCTGTGGACACAATCTGGCCACAAGTTTCTCCAAGCAGAGTTCAAAGTCCTGGTAGTCACTCCCTCCCAAGCCTTACCTATAAGGCTTATGCAATGGAGAATACTGAAGTGTTCTTTCCAAAAATCTCTTAGGGTCAAGCGAGTGTCTGAGGTCACATTAAAGCACCTTTCAAACATTACTTTGGTGTAGAGTTTTTTAAAATTTGAAATGACCTCCTGGTCCATGGGCTGGAGGAGAGGAGTGGTATTCAGGGGCAAGAACTTTACTGTGATGAACCCAAGCTCCTTCAGAATTAGGTCATCCAACTTTGGAGGATGAGCAGGTGCATTGTCCATTACTAGGAGGCACTTGAGATCCAATTTCTTTTCCAGGAGGCAATTCTTCACACTAGGGCCAAACACTTCATTGAACCACTTGACGAAAATTTTCCTCGTGACCCATGCCTTATTATTAGTTCTCCAAAACACACACAGTTTACTCTTCATAACATTGTTTTTCTTGAACACACTGGGATTTTCAGAATGGTACACTAGTAACGGCTTCACTTTGAAATCCCCACTAGCACTAACACAGAACATGAGCATCAGCCTGTCTTTCATAGGCTTGTGTCCTGGCAGTGCCTTTTCTTCCTGAGTAATATAGGTCCTCTTTGGCATTTTCTTCCAAAAGAGGCTTGTTTTGTCACAATTGAACACTTGTTCAGGTTTAAGTCCTTCAGCCTCTATGTACTCCTTGAATTCCTGCACATATTTTTCAGCCGCTTTTTGGTCCAAACTGGCAGCCTCACCATGCCTTATCACACTGTGTATGCCAGTACGCTTCTTAAATCTCTCAAACCAGCCTTTGCTGGCCTTAAATTCACTCACATCACCACTAGTTGCAGGCAATTTCTTTACCAAATCATCATGCAACTGCCTAGCCTTTTCGCAAATACACTGTAATCGATGTCGTAAGATTATCTCCTGCTAATTGTTTCTTGTTTATCCACACCAATAATAACTTCTCAACATCTTCGAGTACTGGTGATCTCATTTTTGTCAGCATATTTACCCCCTTTGCAACAACAGCTTCCTTGATTTCCTTTTTCTTGGCTATGATGGAAGATATGGTTGTACAGGATTTTTTATACATCCTGGCCAGTTCGCCCACACATACGTCACTTTCATATTGTTCAATGATGTTTTTCTTAAATTCAGTTGTATTTTTCACCTTCTTTACCAAAGGCTTGGCACTAGGAGCTTTCTTTGGAGCCATGGTAGCTTATTTAGCACTTGCAAGCACTAAAATGAATGGAATATTATGAAATATTTCATATGAACACGTAAGGGGACCGTCGCTCACTGGTAAACAATGGCACACTGGCTGGGAAGCGAGGACGACGCAGCTCAGAGCCGTGAGGATGCGTCCAGGACGAAAGACGATTAGCGAGTTTACTGGCCATTTGCGAGCCAATGTTTAGACGAATTAACACGACTATTTCCGAAATGGACGACTTTCAGGCCGGATGATTATTGAGGGACCACTGTATATGAATCTTCTTGTAGCATGGTGCTTATGACGAGTGTTGCTAAACTGCTGACAGGGTAAGCAGTGGAGTGACGCAATGATAGTGCCCTGCTGCAGGGAACCCTGGCTTTATTTGTTTACACTGTTACACACAAACATGTATGTCTGTCTATCTGTCTGTGTCTCTCCTTATCTTTGTCTGCCTGTGTCTCTCTGTCTGCCTGTGTGTCTGTCTTTGTGTCTGCATGTGTGTGTGTGTGTCTTTGTGTCTGCATGTGTGTGTCTGTCTTTGTGTCTGCATGTGTGTGTCTGTCTTTGTGTCTGCATGTGTGTGTCTGTCTGTTTGCCTGTGTGTCTCAGTCTTTCTATCTGAATGTGTGTGTGTGTCTTTCTGTGAGCTTGTCTCTCAGTCTTAGAGAGCGGCTCGTAAACAGGTATTACACATGATGCAGTAGTCACGTCTGATCCCTGATGAAGTTAAAATGCGTATTACTTGCCACTGAGTTGCCAGTCATGGATATTATGTCTCCTATCTGCAAGCACTGTAGAGAACTTTGCCTAGAATTTTTGGGCTATCCTAGGTAATTTACACTGTATAATAAATGTACTTATGTGTACATGTGAAAGAGATATAGACAGACAGAGATACAGACAGACCGATACAGACAGACAGATAGCCAGTGGTATCAAAAATGAAGGGAAGTTGCACAGATGTTACACATGGGTTATTATAGAGGTTTTTTATATTTCCTCAATCACTTGTGGCCACATCCATAACTTTCCTCTTACAAGGGGAGTAATATGACATGACATCAGTGAATCCTTGATGTTTGCCACGATATTAGCTCTATATGGCACGCAGTTTTACTGGTGCTCCAACAAGGTATTAATTGGTCCAGGATTTTTTTAATACTGCACACACTGTGTGTTAAGACCCTTTCTATACCTGCCAGGCATCTCAGTCCATCATGCCAAATTTGGAGGCAGGAAAAATAAAACGTAGATCTACGTTTGGAGCAGTAGCTGTGCAAACGTAGATCAACGTTTGGACAGTTTAAGGGTTAACACATTGGCAGTTTCCCAAGAAGGCAGGGTGGTTTGTCAAAGAAAAACTTTCAGAATCATTCACTCCATCACTGTCTTGCCAGAGGCGTGCTTATACTACAGTTATAAAACTGCAACGTAAACACCCCTTCTTCAGAGTGCAGGCACTGTACTTCCCATCTCCAGGACTCGAGTCCAGCCTGCCAGTTTCACTGAATCCCTTCATAAATGTGCCTCTCCCACTATATCATCTACTCTCCTTTTGCACTCTCACCACTCTTCACCTTTCTTTCACTCTCCATATACTCTACTATTCTTATAACACTTCTGCTTTGTAAAAACCTCTCACAAGCTACCTTTTTCTCTTTTATCACACCCTTTACTTAATCATTCCACCAGTCA